ATTTGAAATAGTTGAGGAAGTAGATCAGCCAGAATGTGACCAATAGATTATGACAAAGTAATCAGAGATATCTCCATGGGTGCTGGTGACGCTGGTGATATCTAGCAGATTAAAGAGATTGCCTGAGGGACAGGTGAAGGAAAAGTTGCAATTTTCAGTTCATTTAAAGCATGCCAATGTATCCAACCTTGCCCAGATTTCAATGAATATGCCCTTAGTTTGACCCACAGAAATAAGTATAGGATCAGAATGAAATTGCTCTAGAATATAAATCTGTGAATGATTGGTAGGAATAAATGGGAGTGGCTGGAAGGTATTTGAAAACAAAATCCGAATCGTATTTTCCATGATTACAAACTTTCAAAGGCTAAATCGGAAAATGGCAACTGAACAGAATTTGGAAGAAAAATTGCAGCATTTGAGAACTCAGTTAAACCAGGATTGTTGGTGTCTGTGTCCATGTGTATGCCTGAGTAAAAGGGAGACAACAAGGAAATTTAAGAGATGTCCTTTAAATTTCTATTCCCATTTAATAAAATACTTTTCTTTTTCTGCCTCTTTTAACTGTTTGTTCATTTGTTTGTTTGTTTGTTAGGATTTTTAAAAAATGGTGAAGGGAGTGGGTCAACATATCCTTGATGCATAGTCCTACACAGCCTCAAAGTGCTGGGATTACAGACATGCACCACCACAACCAACTCATAAGTTACTTTTTCTTATTCAGAAAAAATAATTCTTAGCATAGGAACTTACCAACATTCTGAACAGTTCTGAAGTTAAAAATGCAGATCTTATTATGTCTCCTGAATTTTGTTAGCTTAGAAATTATTTGATTTATTTTTGATATTTTCATGGAATGCTTTCTCTGTATAACCTGCTTTGGCACCAATTTATAAATGAAATTCCATGGGACATTAAATGGGAATGCTGAATCATACTTTGGGACACCATTTGTAGTGTAAACTCTCACCTGTAGTAAACAACTTAAACTAAGTATGTAGACCTAGGAGAAACCTGCCCATTTCTTATTTTCCTTCTTTCTCACACTTGTCTGCCACCTATTTTTTACTTCACTGAAGCAAACACTGGCCATAACCTGCCATACCCTTTGGGGACTTCTCTCCTGCATTCTGAATAGTACAGTAGTATCAGTACTTGCCCCCTTTTCTAACCAGAAACCACTTTCAACTAAAACCCTCTTAAGAGGCAAATATTCTAAAACTGTTCTGTTCCTTGCCCATTATTCCATAAGGTCCAGAGAATGACTATGATCCCTGTGCTTTCACTTTTGAATGAGTGTGTTTATTAACTGCATAGCAAACAAAAGCAAAGGACAAATATCAAATACCTGGTAGATAGAAGCAACAGATAGATAGCAAAACATCATCAAATCCGGAATTTACAGCATCCAGCAGTGACTACTGGAGTAGGCAGATTGAGAGCACAAACAAAAGGAATGGCATCAAACTGTGGTCTTACAAGCATCCAGCGATAATTGATTGGGAAAGCTGAGGCAGTAGCTGGAATCTGCTTGAGCAGAACGTTTTTTCCATGCATGAGCTCTAGGCTTCCTGTTTCCACTGCAGGTATTTTTTATACCAAGGGATAAACAACCATAACATCTTTTGGAAATTTCTTCTCCTTTTGTCTGTTCTGAAGGGCACAATGTGTTTACTTGGACTGTTTTGTTGTTCTTGCCTTTCTCATTTCAAAGCCAATCTAACATAGCTATTACCAGGAGTTTAAAAAAGAGTTGACATAAGCATGCTTGAGTCTGAGACAAGAGGCAAGAGGGTGCCTGCCTCCATGCTTCCAGAGTCTTTCATGCTTTCAGTGATCTTAAGCACCACATGACAATTTACCAACATAATCTATATTATATCCATCAAATAAGGAAATTATAAGAGATATCTTATATCATCTCTCAGAGTTACAGCAGAAGTGAACCTGGGTTGCCCAGGGTATATGCTGATCAAGAATACAAGATTTATTTCTTTATTTCATTCCAAATTCATATCCCACTGCTTACTGAGATGATTCTCAATTATTTTTAAAAAATATACCTGACTCTCTTTGTTGAGATAGTTTATAAATCTGAGCCATCCAAATGAATCAGAGCTACTTATACATAAAGGTAAAAAAAAAGATTTATTTTCAGGAATTGTTCACACAATTGTTGAAGCTCACAGTCCCAGACTAAACAGAGGGAGCCAGTAATGTAGAAATTGGGAAGTGCCATGGCCATGGCCATGGCCTGGGTCTAGGTGCCCTGAGAACCAAGTGTTTCTGATTCTTGCAAAGTCTTTTGGTTTAGACCTTAGGAAAGAAAACCTATCTCCATTGTAGTCCTTAACTTAATCTTCTGTGACTTACTACAATCAAATATCTAAAATATTGACTTTGGTAGGGGAAAACCTTTGTTGTGCCCAATGGTTGCTGAGGTTTCAGTCCATGACTGTGTGGCTTTGTTGCTTTGGGGCTCTGTATCAGAGTAAGAAAACTTAACAGATGAGGCTTGTTAACCTCAGGGCCTCAAAGAAGGAAGAGAAGGAGGGAGGGAGAGAAGGTGGGAGGGAGGGAGAGACAGAGACAGAGACTGACTCTGTCGAGGTATTTCATAAAACAGCACTTCCCAGCCAGCCAACTTCCTTCCAAAACACTCATGCCTCCTAAAGTTTCTGTCACCTCAGAACATTGCAACAGATTGGTGACCAAGATTTCAATACTAGCCATTCCAGAACATTTTAGATTCAAATTATAGCAAGCCAAAAGGTAAAAAAAAAATGCAGGTGTCCCAGTTCAAAGCTATTCAGGTTACAAGAATCCTCTTCAGCTTAGGGTAGGATGACTTTTTTATTCTATTAGGAATCTAATTAATTGAGTCAGGTCCATCTACAATGTGGAATGTAATCTTCTTTACTCAGTCTTCTAATGTAAATATTAATCTAACATTAAGACATTGTCTCAGTAACAGCTGGAATGTTCTTTGACCAAATTAGGTGAACACTCTAGAGTCAATCAGAGGATCAACAAATAAAATGATCCTCATAGAAACAAATTAAGGCAATCTGTTTCCTAGAGTTATACTTTTCTGATTATGGTTGACCAACTTTTCCCCTGGAAACGAAATTTTCTTTTATAAAGATGGTGAGACAAAACAAATTTTGCTGTATATATATTAGCTAAATGTCAAAAGGCTTTAAGCATTTATTCATAACTTTTCTTATATCAGTTAAAAAATAGAATAAATGTTTCATATTTTTCAAAATAATTTTTCATTCAGGGTCTTTTTATAGCACAATAAGGTACAATGCCTATTTGTAACCAGAATAATATTTGTATTAGAGAGATAGAAGATAGATAGATACATAGATAGATGATAGATAGATACGTAGATAGGTAGATAGAACATAGATAGATGATAGATGGATGATAGAGAGATAGATAGGTAATAGATAGATATATGATAGATAGATAGATATATGATAGATAGATAGATGACAGATGATGATAGATAGATCGATAGATCGATAGATAGATACATAGATACATAGATAGCTACATAGATAGATGGTAGATAGGAGTTGGGTCTGAATTCAGGGCCTTGTTTTTTTAGGAAAATGTCATCGTACTGATATACATCTAAGGTCCTGAAATCACTATGTACCCTGGCTGTACTTGAACTGGCATTCCTAATGCATTTGTCTCACGAATGTTCTGATTATAAGTCTCAGCCCCTGTTCCTGGTTTGTAATTTTGGTTATCCTAAATATACCGTCTTGCTTAAAGAATTGAGAAAGACTGTATTTGAAACATAATTTCAAAATATAAGAACTTCCACAGGGTTATATTTTATTATTATAGATTTGAAAAAATCTCAACATTTCTTATAAAAATATTTCTGAAACAAAATAACTAACAAAAATTACAAAATTTATTGATGCTTCTTTAGTAGCTATTTTCAGAGCCAAAGAGCTAAGATAATGTTAGATGGATTCCATTCTTCCATTAAGCCTAAGGAGAGAGTGAGAATAACTGTGAGCCTCTGGGGAGGTCAGAGCCTAATGTGTTTATGGTGCAGGATATGGAGATAAGAGCGAAAGAAACCACACATGGACTCTGGGTCACCATAGTTCAAGGCTGTAAAAATTAGTGTGCATACATTGTCCCTCTGCTCTTTATATCTTATTTCATATTTCTTCTATGAAATAATGTACTTTTGTGTTCATTAAAGGCTATCACATGATATACCTAAATGCTGTAGTTTTCTTGAATCTTCTTCCACAAGGGTTGATTTCATTAAGCAGAAACAATTATTTTTCTTAGAATTATATTGTTACAAAACTGAATATTACCTTTCAGGAATATATTAATAGCTGTGTGATGTGATTTGTCCACTGTATTTTAAAGCAAGCAGTATGTTCTCAGAGCTGCAGGCTTGCCTTTACAAAAAGGATTCTGCAGAATGCATCTGAGACAGTACTTGATCTTGAGTTCATTGGGGGTTCCTTATTGTAAGTCCCTGCTTGTCCTGTGACAATGAATGTGTTGTTATTCAAATGCACATGAATGCATTCAGCCCACAATAATAGTATTCATAGCCATCTATAAATAGTTGAAGAAACAATTGTGTGAAATACTTGATA